TTCGGCAAACACTACTGAGACTGAGCCCAGACCAGGTAGGGCCTTTTAATGATTATTTGGGGATGTGATGTGCATCATTCGGTGCACATGTTCATCTTTTTGATTTTGAGGGCAGTGGACGTGAAGTTTTGGTTGCTGCTTCACGATGTAGAGAGCTCTTTCCAGAGGCTTTCTGATTCTCGTACTCTGCCTGGCCTAAAGCTGCCGCACCTCCTAAAGGAGGTGCGGCTGTAGTGGAGTGGCTGCTTGCTGCATGGTGAAGACTCGACAATCCAGAGCTTTGTCTAGCATCTGTCTAGTAACTAGTACATCAGCTCAGCCTAACGAAGAAGTGCTGCGGCCATGCAGCGGGCTCACGATGTCTCACCTTCGTGCACACTCAGCAGATTGCTAGTACCGTGCAAGCAGGTGTGGACTCGAGTCAAAAGGTCTGGCCCGTCCGTGCCAAGAGATTCGTGATGCAGGCTGAGCGGGATGCGAATGGAGACCAGCTCCTGGGAAAGCGCGCCTGGCCGTTGCCCCGGAAGCCAAGTCGAGCTTTCTGCCAGAAGTTTGCAAGTCCGATACAAGTGCATGCCAGCAGCACGGTTCAAAAGCGTTGCTTTAGGTGGCTTAGCCATGGGAACTCTTGCCCTCTTTCATGCGCTCCTTTGCGCGGGGCTATGGCAAAGCTCCGTGCACGCGGATGTCGACGTCGTAGGAGGTTTGGAGCCAATCTTCCTGGAATTGAAATCGAGCGTGGTCGACACTTGTAGCACTGGTGCGATCTGCGACCTCATATGCGAGGCAGACTTTGAGGTTTACCCTGCCGACAAGTGTGATCAGTACTGTCACGAAGACATGGACTACATCTGGGATGTGTTCGATTCCTACTGTGGCCATAGTGATGACGACAGGCACAAGTTCTGTGCGGACTTGTGCTACGACGGCTTCTATTGCGGGGACAGCACGTGCGCACCATGCGAGGAGGTATGCCTGGCGGAGTATGACTTGGTCCATGAGATCTTCGATTACTGTGCCGATTGCGATGACAGATATGATGACGACTACGACGACGATAATGATTACAGTCCCACGACAACGACGACTACCGTTGACCAGTGTTCGGACATTGGATGCTGGTGCACGAAGTGGTGTGACATCGTAAAGTGCCCCCACTGCGAGGAGCTTTGCACCAAGAACGAGGCCAAGGTGTGGCCCATCTTCGAGCGCTACTGCGAGTGCGGCTTCTGTGACCAGTCAGACGGAGAGGATGCCGGCTTGTTGCAGTTCCGAGTTCAAAGTGCTGCTTCCGACACGGCGTGCGGCTGTCGAAGTGAGCACCAGTACTGCATCGACCTTTGCCATGCCACGGGTTACCATGGGATCGGTCTGGCACGCTGCACGGAGGACTGCACCTCCAGTGGGAAGCTCGAGGGCCTTCTCGAGGGCTATTGCCACCAGTGTCACGCAGAATACTACCCGTCGACCGGGAAATACCACCCGAAGGATGACGACAAGCACGATGATTACAAACACCGGGACGACCATGGCAAGTATCACAAGGATGACTACCACAAGCACAAGGATGACTACCACAAGCATGACTACCACAAGGTTGCAGGGCCCGATCGGTACCAGACGACAAGCATCCCGACCACCACGACAACCACCACGACAACCACCACGAAAACCACCACTACAACCACCACGACAACCACCACGACTACAACCACCACAACGACCACGACTACAACACCTCGCACGTATGAAACCACCACGACCATGCCACCCTACGAGACCACCAGGCCGCCTTACGAGACGACCACGCCTCCCTACGAGACGACCAGGCCGCCCTATGAGACGACTAGGCCACCTTATGA